TGGCATCGCCCTCAATCTCGTCTTGAAGCTTTTATCCTTTTTTTACTTCTTTAATAATATGCACATTTATTGAGCACTCCCTGTATGCCAGGCACTGTTCTAAGACCCTACCTGCGTTATCTTATTCGAGGCCACGCCGTGACGGATTAAATGAGCTGTGTATCATGACTCTCGCCACTGAAAACATTGGAATGATGGGGCCACGGGGGTTCCGTGGCTTGCCCAAGAGCCTCCAGCTCATCTGCAGGGAAGCAACCCTTCAAACCCAGCTGGTCTGAACTCCAGAGCCCATGCTATTGCTCTTCTCCGCCCTGCCTTTCCAAGCAGACTCCTTGAGCGCATCTCTTCTAAAACACTGTCCAGGAACACCTCTGCTCTCCAAGCTCAGGGCTCTGGAAAACGGAGAAAAACCACAGAGCAGAAAAGCAGAAAAGGCAAACATCACAGACACCGTGGACTCTACTCATGGGAGGAGCGCTTGTTTGGGGATCCTACTCCTCTTGGCAAATAATTCTAACAAGCTTTGTTATCTGGTTTCCCAACTCAGACAATATTAGTCTCAGAAATTAGGTAGTGGGGAAAGGAATGCCCACAGCACGCAGGAGTAAGCAGCGCATGTTAGAAAACAATGAAAATAACCCTCAAGAATCCTGGAACCCCGGTGTTCCCTGAGGGGTTCTGAATAACCAAGGTTTGATTGTAAAAACAAACAAACGAAAACCCAGTGGGCTGGACAACTAACAAACACCACCATCGGATAGAATTTTAATTTATAAAAGTGGAAAGCCAGCTTTGTGGCTGGCCCCGCTCTGTGTGCAGATGGCCACAGAGTGTGTCGGCCTTTGTGTGGACCACTGAGCGACAGGAAGAGCTGCCAAAATTCCTGGTTGTCTACCCGGTGGGCTCTGCTAGCTGATGTGCATCTGTCATTTACTCTTGACAACAGCTTTACAAAAGGTAGGGACTCACATGCTTTTTTTTTTATTTAGATGCCTAAATGAAGCCCAGAGAGGTTGAGTAACTTGCCCAGGGTCACACAGCTGAGTCCCGGCGGACTCCGGAGCCCTCACTCTTCCCCACTTGGCTGTGCTGCCTCTTAATCACAAACTACAGCCAGGCTGCCTGGCCCAAGCACAGGACACCGATTACAAGGGGGCAGGGAGGCCACGCGAATAGACCTAAGCCCACCCAACACCAAGTATGAAAACAGCCCAGAGCCAGTCTCCCACTAAAGCCGGGCCTGGGGCTTCCAATCAGCCAGTGTCAGGACTGTGATTATGAATGAAGACAGAAATGTGTGCTTCTGCATGCTGTCACCAAGACCAAGAAGATTCCCCTAGAGTTGAATTAGACGCATGGTTTCCAGCTGGCCCACCCTGAGTGACATATGCAGTAGGTTTGGATTCAGGAGCACCTGGATTGATAGCCCGCCCCTGCCCCTCATGCTATGACCTTGAAGACTTCCTTAACCCCTCTGAGTCTGTTTCCTCACCTGCAAAGTGAGGTGCTAACAGTACCTGCCTCCTAGACTGTTGATGAGAAAGTGAATGCGAAATGCAAAACTCCCGGTGGTGGAGAGGGCCCTCTCTGCAGGTGGGTTCCTTTCTCCTTGCCTTTGAAAGGAATCCCGAGAAAGCAGCCCCACCTTCCTCCAGGTTCTGGGCTCCTAAAAGGCCATCACAAACTAGTATTCCGATATGTGCCAAAGAGGCAGACAATGAAAATGTTTGCAGCCGGTCCCCTGGGAAAGTAACCACGATGGCACTGACCTTTTTAAAGGCTTTGCAGGGGCCTCGAGTCATGGGGCCAGTGGCGGGACGGGTACTGCGTCTGATGACTTCTGTCGGTTTCCCTTCTCGGAAGACGGAGGAAAAGAAAACACCGATTCCGCCACAGAGCTGTCTCCTAGACTTCTGGGAGGGTTAGGGTGCAGTGAGACAGGTCCCACACCACCCCCCATGCGCACCCCCGCCCCGCCCCGCCCCGCCGCTTAGCCGTGGCCCTCAGGTATCCCCGCGGTGCCCCCACCTCCCACTAGGGGGCAGCATCTTCACCCATGCGCACCGGGCCCAGAGGCCTACCCAACCCCTCCCAGAGGGGACTCTGCCCTAGAGTCACCAGCCCAGCAGAGCAGGGAACCTTCCCTACCCTCAGGAAGCATTAGTGACAGTGCCAACTGACGACTGGGTTTGGGGACAAGAACTAGATTAAGCAGAAGCAGGGGGCTCCTCCAGGAAATGGTCACAGAGAGGGCAGATGACCCTTCTCTTCCTACGCAAACCTCATCAACCAAACACAAGGACATCTCTGTGGGACAAAAGAGAGAAGAGAGAAATGGAGCACACTGCTTTATTTTGGCTTTTTCATTGTCAAAGTGTTAGCAGTGTTTAAAAATCACATGATACTGAAAAACTCATAGTGCAAAACCAGCAGCTGCCTTCGGCACCCCTACCCCTCTGTGCCCCCACCAAGTCCCCCCTCTGCCCCACCCCCATCCAGGGTCAATAACTTTCATCTTTGTTAACTGATTCTTCTGGAATTAAGCACCATATAGTATTCTTATGTGATATTTAAGATTTTTTTTTTAAGATTTCATTTATTTATTTGACAGAGACACAGTGAGAGCAGGAACACAAGCAGGGGGAGTGGGAGAGGGAGAAGCAGGCCTCCCGCCCGAGCAGGGAGCCCGATGCGGGGCTCGATCCCAGGACCCTGGGACCATGACCTGAGCCGAAGGCAGACGCTTAACCGACTGAGCCACCCAGGTGCCCCTAAGATTTTATTTTTAATCTTTATACCCAGTGTGGGGCCGGGACTCACAACCCCAAGATCAGGAGTCGCATGCTCTACCTACTGAGCCAGCCAGGTGCCCCTCTTATTTGATATTCTTATATTAATTCTTGAGTCATCACTTGTAGACATTGTCAGTTGATTTCCAACAACAGCAGATGAGGATTTTGTCCTCTTACACACGCCCCCTTTTCCTGCCCCCAGTCCTCCCAGTATTAGAGGTACACCACGGTTTTGGTTAATTCCATAATCAAAGTTTAACAGTATGATTATGTAAATTTTGTTTCTTTCCAACACCACATATTTTACTGTATTTACGTTTCCTGCAATTTTCATTTTTCCTGCAATGAGAAATGTTCTTGTTTTCCCACTTTAAAGAGGGTTTCTCAATTAGAAATTAAACTTCTCTGTATCTCTTCCTCTCAATTTCTGTCATGGTTTCCTTATTGGGAACAATTCTGTATGTGATAAATATTTACTGAGCATCTACGTTTGCATCTTGGTGCTAGGGGTTAAGAGATTTACAAAGAGACGTGATCCTTGGCCTTTTTGCAACCTGAAATTCAGTCGAGAGATGACAGAGGTACACAGAAAAAGAGCATGAAGCAAAAACTCAAGCATCCTCCTGCCTGCTCTGTGATGGGTGGAATTAATGGTGCCCACACTCCACTCCGGAGTCAGAGGCCAGAGTCACAGGGAAAGTTTTCTTCTCTCACAAGGAAGGCCTGAACTGGGCTTTGAAATCCGATTGTAAACAGAGAAGAGAACGTCCCAAGTGAGGAAAACAGTGAAGGGTTGATCTGTGGACCATAGACACATGAAACATCTTAACAGGCCCCAGTCTTAATTTCCTTGTCATTAAGGGGCAGGAAGAAGTTAATTACTGGTATTTGGTTGTGGAAGAGAAAAACCCCTCTTCTTAAGAAACGGACACTGAAGTATTTAGGGGAAAAGGCTAACACGTACATGACTTACCCTCAAACGGCTCGGGGGGAAAAAAATGTAGACAAAGTATGGGCATTCCTTATATAATTATCACTTTGGAACTCTTTGCAACTTTGGAATTATTTGGAGTTCTTTGAATTTTTAAAAATTTTTAAAGATTTAAGGCAAGCTATTAAGTTACCCTGGAGAACTCTAACCTAAGGAAATAATCACATTTACATAAGGTGAATGATTTAAGCAGATTCTTTGTTCCATTTGTAGTTTTAAAAAAAAAAGGAATTAACCTAAATATTCAATAAAAAGAAAATGGCCAAATTTTGTGGCACATGATGCTTCTATTAACATGAATTTTTTCCAACAAATTTAAGTTGAATAAGAAAGTGATCAGGGTATGATGTAAATGGGGGGGGAGCAGAATATAAAACAGCATACTATGTAAATCCAATTATGTATCTATATAGACATAAATTGGAAATATATCAAAGTAATAACAGTATCAGGATTAAGGGTAATTTCACCTTTACATTTTTCTGTATCTTGACGTTTTCCATAATGAGCATGCATTAACTTTCTAATTTTAAAAATTAACATAATTTTCTAAAAAGCTAAGAAAAAAATGAGATTTGGGGATAAGCCCAGAGTTATTTTATGCTTTTTTAAAAAAATTTATTCATTTGAGAGAGAGAGAGCCCAAGCTGGGGGAGAGGCAGAGGGAGAGGGAGAAGCAGACTCCCCCACTGAGCAAGGAGCCTGCCACCCAGGCGGATCCCAGGACCCTGAGATCATGACCTGAGCGGAAGGCAGAGGCTTAACCAACTAAGCCACCCAGGCGCCCCCCAGAGTTATTTTAATAATTTTTAAGGATTAAGATAAAATTATATATTTATTCTTTGAAATGATATTGTAATTAAATACAGGGTGCTTTAATATTTTTTTAAATAAATAAATATTTTTTTAAACATGGAGAAGAATATCTACCCTATTGGGTTACTGGCCAGATTAAATCATCTCTGTAATGTGCTTAGATCAGTGCCTGCCCAAGGTAGTAGGAACGTATATACATACTATGTGTATGTGGGTATATATATATTATATATGTGCGTGTGTGTATTATATCTATAAATACACAATGTCAAGCAGTCGGCTAGGTCAACAGCCCGCACCTCCCCACTTCCCGCTCGCCAGCGCTCTGTTAAGCACGCGTTGTGCGGGGCGCATGTGCTGGGCCACGGCCAGGGAGGGGCTGAGCCGCTGCCTTCCCACAGGTGGCCGCCGAGTACTTCAAGAACACCACGCTGCTGCTGGTGGGTGTCATCTGCGTGGCGGCTGCCGTGGAGAAGTGGAACCTGCATAAGCGCATTGCTCTGCGCATGGTCATGATGGCCGGAGCCAAGCCGGGCATGTAAGTAGCCCTTGGGGTGCCCAGCCACCGTGCGGCCCCCAGCCGCCAGGGGCCTACCTGGACAGGGGTCCTGGGCCCCCGGGTGACGTGCAGGTCAGGGTGTTTTTCTACTAATGGGATGGAACGACATCAGGCCTGCTGGGCTCCCACGGCTCCCTCCGGCGAGAGGGCCCTCTATCGTGGAGGAGAGATGTGCGTGTGTGACGTTGGTGTCATTTATTATCACAGTCTCAATAATTTATCGGAGCCACATAGACCTCGCGGCAGCAGGTTACAAAATACAAGGGGCCCACTGGGTAAAACGAGAAGGACCAACGTAAATTGTTTCTCAACCTTTTTTCCGGCGTAACAGGGAACGGGCTGGACAGGGAAATGGGTGTCTTCTCCTTTGCCATTTAAGGAGACGTGGAGGTTTCCTCCCATCCACCCTGAGTTTTTGTTGTCCCTGGTTCAGACTGCAGCTCAGACATTTGCCCCTGACCTGGCATCCGCGATGCCTTCCAGGCCCTCAACCCCGTCCTGGTCTCTGTCTGCTATGGGGAAGGCCAGGGGAGACATTCCCAACCTTGGGGAATGTGCAGGAAAGTCGGGAATGAGTTTTATGTTAACTTCACCTCTGCTGCATCGAATAACCCTACCCTTCTCTTTCCTTTGGAATACAGGTCTCACCTCCTTCTATTTACAGGTTTCTTGAGACACTTTATGTAAGCTTCCCTGACTCCTTTGGGAGTCCAATGGCTTATAAATAAATAATGTGGTATTGGTTTTCAACATTAGTCATTTAGATGAATACAGGTTAGGCCTCAAAGGAGATTCCCGTCTCCCACTTAACTACAGCTTAATTTGGTGTCATTTGCCCCCTCACTCAGTAATAGCCTTGTACTACCCCACACTCAGCCTCCTAGGCACATAATGGCATCTACACATCATGCTGGGACTCCGCAGCTCTTTAAAACCTCTGTGTATTCAACTCAAACTCAAGAATGCTGCTCCCATTGCATTTCCACTCTTCTTCATTTGCCTCCTCCCCGAGCATGTTTCCACCGCCTGCAGGGCTCTCTGTCTGCTGCTGGTGGGGGTCCCGGGCAGGCAAACTCCTGTTGCTCTCAGCCTAAGCGGAAAAACACCACCAGGACTTCGGCCTGCCCAACCTAATCCACACGACAGGTGTCCCCCATTGCCTGACGTCAGGGATCCCACCTCAAGTAAGAAACACGGGTGGTCTTTATGTTGGCTTTGTCTTACGGAAGCGAGAACCACGTCTGTTCCAACACATTGTATGTTTCCAAAGTCAAAACGAAATAACTTGAGGGTTATTTTTGTGAGTGCTTTCCTCCGAGGGCTGACTCTTCAAGATACCAGCTGAAGAAGTGTGCGCAGTGACATGGGACACTTGTGTGGCCCGGGGGGTGGGGGCGGGGGGCCTATCCTTTCAGCAAGTGGGCAGCTGGGCAAGTGGTGGGCAGAACCGTGAACCCCATACGTTAGTCTCCGTTTGGTCACTAGTAACTACAGTGACGTAGCTGCAGAGCGAAGACTGTAATGGTCCCTGAAGAACTGCTGTTTGCAGGGCAGAAAAAAGAATTCCTTTATGCACCAAAAGCACACCTCATTACCAAGCGAATGTCTACAGAGCTGAGCAATGAGTAAAAGTCCAGGCCCGGCGACCCTACTACCAAAGCTCGTCTTTGCTTAAGGAAGGGCTTTTTGCTCACTGAGGCCATCAGCCCAGGAAGTGTGATTTATTCATTCAACAAATATGAATTTAGTGTTTACTCGGTGCCAAGCCCTGGGAGTACAGAGCTGAATGCATGACATAAAACCCTAACCTTCTGGATACATGCCAGCGCCTCCGCCCCACCCCGGCCCCTTCTCTAGGCCAGCTCTGTCGGGTTCGTAGGAGGCCCCAAAGGAGCCCCGCGAGGGCAGCAGGGGGCCACCCCGGGGAGTGGCCATGCTGTGGACACTGCGCCCACCCGCCCTGCCTTCCAGGCTCCTGCTCTGCTTCATGTGCTGCACCACACTGCTCTCCATGTGGCTCTCCAACACGTCCACCACAGCCATGGTGATGCCCATCGTGGAGGCCGTGCTGCAGGAGCTGGTCAGTGCCGAGGACGAGCAGCTCGTGGCTGGCAACTCCAGCGCCGAAGAGGCCGAGCCCATCAGTACTGTTTGCTGGAGTTCACCTCCCCTTCGCCCCTGGACCCTCCTCTTGGGACACCGCCCAGCTCAGGGCCACCCCCAGAGCCCTCACCCATGCCCCTCCCCTCCCCTCAATCCCAGGCCAGCCCTTGGAACCTGAAGCTCCCTTGTGACCCCACATTCCTGGCTCTTCCTTCCTCCCCTGCTCAGAGTAGCCACCTCTGCTCCTTTCCCCCAAACACTCGAGGGTTCTGGCAACACCCTGGGCCTGCCTGTGTCCACAAGCCCTTTGCTTTCAGAGCAGAGGGAAGGGCAGTGGTCACGCCTGCCTCCAGCAGGATCTGCCCTCATTTTTCCCGTTCAGCCCCAGCCTTGAGCCCCTGCCCTGCATGGTCGGCTCCAGCCTCCACATCTCACGTCTGCTTTCCTTTGCTACTGTAGGTCTTGATGTAAACAACAGCCAACCCTCTCTGGAACTCATCTTTGTCAATGAAGAGTGAGTATGACTGCCCTCCTCCCAGACGGAGCCTTGCCAGGTCTATTCCAGAGGTCAGGAAAGCGGGTACCTGAACACCTCTTTTAGATGTATGGGCCTGGCTCACGTCCTGCCACACCACCACCTCCCTCTGCCCTAATTTCCTCTCCGTACCTGGGAACCACCTGCCAAGAGCCTGAGGGCAACTCCCTCAACCACAGGGAGTGGGAGCCATGAGGGAAGAGACAGAAAGACTGACTGAATCTGATTGTCCACACATCTACCAAGTAGAACTGAAGTAGAAGAATACTACATTTAGTTAATGGAAAAACATAATAAATGTCACTGGAGATTCTCAGAGAATGACAGAGTATCTTCTAGATACTAGACATGGTCTTACTGGATTTGCCCTTGTCAGATGTGACAAGGAAAGATGAGGTGACGGGCAGTGGATTCGAGGACAATTGAGAGAGTCACATGAGGGTGGGGAGAAGCTAAAAGAGGAGAAATACGCCCCCAAACATTCATGTGAGACAGATCCATTAATAGCTCATTTCTTCCAGAAATTCTATATCAGAAGGTGGCCTTCAAGGGATACTGTGATGAATATTGCCTTTAAAGGTTGGATGTGCTGCAGAGCTGAGTTTTGCAGTTTGGTGTCTTTTGGGGCAATGAGAGCTGCCCTGAGTGCAACCAGCACGTGTGAGGGGAGAACATAGAAAGGTGGGGACGAGCTTTGCTCTCCCCCACACCGCTGCCTTCAGTCACAGCTTCCCGATTCCCCTCCACGGCCCCGGATGAGATCTCAGGCAAACTTCACTGCTCTCTGGTTCTTTAAGGTGTTAGAACAGAATGAGCTCCTTTGCAGGTAGTCAGCAGTCTGGTCCAGACTCTGAAAACTTCCATCTCTCCGCCACAGTGCCTCCTGCCTCCTGTCCCCCAGGCCTGCAGGGTCAGAGGTCAGAGTGCATGGGGACAGACTCCTCTTTCACCCTTCCTCCTCCCAGGCTCAGGGCTCCCACCCCTCCCTCTGCTGCCTCTGACCCCTCCAGGCGTCCTCCCCTCTCTGAGACTCCCTGGCTCTCCCACTTGCCGGGGGCCCACATTCAGCATCTCTGGAGCGTCCCCTTGAGGCGCCCTCTGCAGAGCGCCAGGCCTGATGGCGGTGGTGAGGATGACCACTCACCCCCACCCCTCGGTTCTGTGCTTTGCTGCCTCACTCCCCCAGAGAGTCTTCGTTCTGGGGGTTGCCTTGGCCTCTTGGGTAGGGCCTCTTCAAGACGGCTCTGGCCCTGCCACCTTCCATGTGCGTCACCCACCACGAGACTCCACATTATGCCCTGCCTTTGTTCTTCTCCAGACCTAAATATATGTCCCCAAACTCCGAAGCAGAAGCTCAAGTTGTCCCTCGAACTCCCTCAGCAGAGTGCTGGTGGGAGCCTGGCCATTTGCCGGGGGATGATGGCAGTTTTCCTGGGGTGGCCGGCACCTCCCATGCTGTCTGAGGGGCTCCGGGCCTGCCCTTCTCACCCGATTTGGGAAGGAGGGAGGGGAAACATCATACCACTCTACTCCTTCCAGGCTAACAACCCTTTCCAAAGAACACTTCCCTCCGAACCCCCATCAACCCCTTACCCTCCCCTGGGGTAGCCTGGACATGGCTATCGGCCACGGGACTCCAGGCCTGCACATGTGTCCAACACCTGTCTTTACAGTGAGCTCATGGCACCCACTGTCCTCAGAACTAAGACAAACCGAAGCATGCATTTAGCACTGAGCATAGCCAGTAAGCTACAGGTCGGTTCCCACCTCCCCTCACCCCCATCCTCTGGCTCTCATCTGCCTTTCTCCATGTGCAGCCCAGACCCTCTCTACTCCTGCAACGTCAGAGAAGCATTTCACAAGGTTCTCCTTCTAGACAGTGACCTTCACCGAGTCAGCCGGTGAGAATGTGGTCAGGGCTCCTCTCTGGGCCCACTGTCTACTCTGTACATGCAGGTAGGAATCCCGGCGCCATCCATCTGTTACGAGGATAACAATGCTGTGAGGACTAAAGTCCATATTTAAGTGCTTGGCCCCTAAAAAGCACTCCCTGTTAGTTATTAGGGGTGTCAGCACTGCTTCTAAGGAAATGCTGTGTCCCCACAAATCCTGACAGCATCTCTGGAAGGCCAGGAAGCCTCGGGTGAGATTAGTCTTCTTTGTAGCCTAGGAAACTGGACTCTAGAGGGGTCGCTTACACCAAACACCAGTGGGGGGGTGGGGCATTCCCATCTCATGAAGTCGGATCCACTATTGTTTTCTCATGTCCTTTGCTTTGTTCCAGCACATCGACTGCAGACTTCACCTCTCTGATGCAGAACAAGGTAAGGCCTTGGGTTTTTTCTGCGCTTTAAGATCACTTGGAAGTCCCTCAAGATACCTCAGGGACAGGGATGTCCTAGAGCCCGGTGGCAGCCACTGATGTGAAAACACAGAGATGCTCCCACGAGCCCGGACGTGAGAAGGGCTCCACAGGCTCCAGGCAAGGGCCTGCATACCTCTGAACCCTGGCCCTGAGAGGGCTTAGCCTCATGAAGTACAGGTTAGCCTTTTCCGTGGAAACCCAATACTCAGCCATCCAGATTTCCAAAAGTCACAGATTCACCCTCAGGATTCCTTGCAGTGGGGATTCCACACAAAAACTATATTATAAAAAGGGTCACATTTAAAGATTTATTTATTTATTTTAGAGAAAGAGAGCACATACTTGTGTGGGTGGGGGGAGGAGCAGAGGGAGAGAATCTTCAAGCAGACTCCCCGCTGAGTGTGGAGCCTGATGTGGGAATCAATCCTATGATCCATGAGATCATGACCTGAGCTGAAACCAAGAGTCGATGCTTAACCGACCGTGCCACCCAGGTGCCCCAAAAGGGTCACATTTATAGAGGAAAGCAGAGTTTATGGCCTTACCTCTTCCCCCAGAACTGGTTTCACATCTCCTTATATCAGCCCAAATTTTGATCACCAAACTGTGGACTTTATTGTGGTGAGATTTTTTTTTTTTCATTTTCTTTGTGTTAAAGAAAAATGAAGGATTCTTCATTAGCTAATGAAGTTCCAGAAAGTCAAGCTGTCCTACAAGGACAGAGCCATGTTCTGCCAAGTTTCAAAAGTCTCTGCAAATGGGCTGCTTTGCACCCGCTGGATGGGACTCTGTGTCTTGGAGGCACGGTGGGGTGTTTCCCCAGTGCATGCTCTCCCTGGCTTCTGGTCTCCGATGGCCACAGTGCTGAGGCGTGGGATGCCATGGGGCGATTACACGGCCCCTCTTGAGGCCCGCCACATCCTCTCCCTGACAGTGGGATGGTCTTTGTCCCCACAGAACGTGAATGGTGTGCCCACAATCACCAACCCGGTCAAAACAGCAAATCCCCAGGGCAAGAAGCAGCACCAGTCCCAGGTAATGGAACTCACCCCTTGACCCTGTTTCCTACATGAAATGCCTTGAGCTTCCCAAGGGGCACTGGTCTTGAAGTTAGGAGGGCATCAGGCTAGTGTGCCGTCACCAGGCAGTCCATCCACAGACAAGTCTGACCTGCGTATGCCATGGAGATAAAACATCTAATTCACTGTTGATTTTGGCAAGTCATTCTACCATCTGAGCCCCTGCTTTTTTCTTCAGCTATAAAAGCTGGGGGTTGGACTAGATAAGAGGTGTTCAAAGTTTTTCCTTAAAGGTGCTTCGGGGACAATGCAAGTATTATATTTGAGTATTCTGAGATTGTAAGGAAATTGCTTTTTTTGTGTGAATGAGTATTTTTCCTGCTACTTGCTATACCACTGAAACAAAATAGATCTTGAAGTTGGCCTAAAATTGTGGCTATCACTTATAGACCTTGATTTCAAATTTTTGTGTCCATCCAAATAATCCCAAATATTTAACATTCATCATCAGCATAAATAAATGCCACCATTTCTGAAAAACTGATTGTGTACCAAGCACAGTGTGCTGAGCATTTTCTCCCTAGTCTTGGCTCAGGGAGGTAGCAGTCTTGAACTCTATTTCTGCAGATGAGGCAAAGGGATGACATCATGTGGCCCAAGGCCTCAGAGCCAGTAAGCAGTGACAGGAGCATCTTGATTCAAAGCCAAGCCTCGCTGGCCACACGTGTCTACTTTCAGTTATAAAACAGACGTATGCTGATTAAATGCTATGTTACGTTTTATATATTGGAGGTTCATGAAAATTTTCGTTAGAAGAAAGGATCGTGGAAAACCACTGGACCAGAGAATCTGTGAGGTCCCTTACAGCTCTGATAATGAATCTCTCAGGAAGGCTTACAAGGGTCCAGACTGACTTGGGCCCTCCTACTAGGTGGGGCACTAGGTAAGCTTTGAGAGGGAGGCAAGGTAGCCTCTGCCCCGTGGTTTTCCCAGGATCTGGCCTGCTGATGTTTGCCCCAGGCGGCTCCTGGTCTCATAAAGACTCAGTGGGGGGAGACCAGGACTAGAGGGGCAGAGGGTACTTGCTGCTTCTTCTTTTCTTTTTTAAGATTTATTTATTTATATGAGAGAGAGCGTGCAGTGGGGCAGGCGGGGAGGCAAAGGGAGAGGGAGAGAGAGTCTTAATCAGGCTCCATGCTGAGCTGGGAGCCTGACACAGGGCTTGATCCCACGACCCTGAGATCACGACCTGATCCACCACAAGAGTCAGACACTTAACTGACTGAGCCACCCAGGTGCCCCACTTGCTTCTTTATCTACACTGGAGGCCAGGGGTCAGCAACCTCTGGCCCTGAAAGGCTACCATCTGGGCCAAGCAGGGCCTGAGAGGAGCACCGAAGGCTAGCCTTATATGCAAGGGGAGGGGGAGAGTGGGGAGGCAAAACCAAGAGGCAAGAGGCAGAAAAGAGTGAGGAGAGAATCCCACACTGGATTCCCTCTGCAACCCAAGGCTTCTTTCTCAGTCACCTCCCAGTCAGGACCGTCACTCCAGCTCCAGAGAGAACCACCACCTTCCATGTGTCATTCACACGCAAAGCGGAGAGCAACCAGTTTTGCTGGAGTTCAAGTGAAACAGAACATGCTGTGACTAACAACAAAAGTAATAACAGCTTACCATTTGCTAAGTGCCAGGAAGTGTTGTTCTAAGTGCTTTACATATATTACTTCAATGACTCTTCACAGCAATCTGGTGGAGAAAATAGGATTTTCTTCATTTTGCAGAAGAATATGCAGCTCAGAAGGGCTGCCCAAGTTGCTGAATGGTAGAATGAGGATTGGGATTTGTCTTTCTGACACCCGAGCATAAAACCTTTCCACGGCACCATGGTGCCCCTGCCTCCATGCTTTGTGTGCTGGACAGCCCACACTGGGTTGGAAAGATGCACTGGTTTTTCTCTGATAGGAAAAGCCACTAGTCCTGATCCCCGGCCCCAGGAACCAGGAGCTCAACAGAAAGTACAAGTCCCAGCATGACCAGATGATCTGCAAGTGCCTCTCTCTGAGCATATCTTACGCCGCTACCATTGGGGGCCTGACCACCATCATTGGCACGTCCACCAGCTTGATTTTCTTGGAACACTTCAACAAGTAAGTAACTCACCTGGTCGACAAATAGCCACTAACCACCCACTCCGTGTCAGGAGCAGAGCTAGGTGCTAAGGATAAGGCAGAAAAAGAAACTAGAGCAGTTTCCATACCAAGAGGGAAAAGAGACGATGGAGCACGACAGTTCAGTGTGACTGGAGAAGGGTGGGGTTCTGCTGGGAGAGCCCACAGGGGCCACCCAGTCATGGGGAGGACATGCCTCCCCAAGGACACAGCTAGAGAACAAGACCAGAAGCACAGTGGGCATACACTGGATGAAGGGAGGTTTTCCAGACCAAGACAACAGTGAGCGGGAGGATTCAGGGGTGAGAGAGCAGGGCACATACGAAAGAATGGTAGAGGGCAAAGGGAGGCCAGGGAGGTGGACATGCAGATCACAAAGGGCTTCTTGAGGCCCACGAAGGACCTTGGACTTCATCCGAAATGCCATGAGAAGTCTTTGAAGAATTTTAGGCAGGGAGTGAGGTGATCAGATTTATAGTTTTGAAAGCTGATTCTGGACTGAAAAAATGGAAAAGAGAAGGTACGCCTATTTTCAGCAGGAGGACAACTTTGGACACCACTGCAGATGCCCAGGAGAGAGCTAGTGGTGGTCTGCTGACCCAGGCAGTAGTGAGGAGAAACGGTCAGATCTGAGTGATAGGCAGAGGTAGGCTTGACCAGCCTTGGCAGGATTAGAAAAGGCCTGAGAGAGGGAAAGGCCAAGTCTGATTGTCAGACTCATGGCCTCCACCGCTGGTGGAACAGAGTTGCCCCTGACCTACATGAGCAGAAAAATAAGGAAATGTTGACATAGAGGTTGAGATGGCCAGATGGATACACAGCTCTGAATCTCAAGAGAAATTTCTAGGCTAAAGGCATAGATTTAGAATCAGTAGCCTTCAGAGCTGTCTTCATGAGCACACAACCTGTATGATCACACCAGACCACCATGCTCAGAAGGGCCCCACACCTAGCTTGAGGCTCTGCCCTCACCATCTGAAAATTCTTAATCATTTTTGAACAAGTGGCCCCACATTTGCATTTTGTACTGGGGCCCACAAATTAGTGGATCCTGGTGGGATGCAAATGGAAATTGAAGCCAGGAGAGTGAAGAAGATCGATCACTCAGGGAGAACATATAGAGTAAGCAGAGCAGGGGCCATAAATTTTTTTTTTTTTTTAAAGGCAATTTGGTGAGCTCCCTGGATCTCCACTGGTCTGAAGGTGCCACCATGCTGTTTTTCTTGGCACTGGTGAACAGACCACCCCCAGAGTTCATTCTGGCTATGTTTCAAAAATCTAGAGATTAGTTGTTACTCTTTCTAAAGTGCTATAGATGGGAATGGGCCCTCATATGTATCCACAAAAGTCTATTTAATCTATTCTAAAAACCCATTGCCTTTCCTGGGTCCAGGAACAGGGCCTAGATTTCCACGTACAGGGAAGAGATGACGCAACAGACTTTATGCCTTTTAGCCCCTACAGGCCAGAGTGAGTCACTCAATGACTTATACCCCCTGGTATCCTTCTAGCTCCAAAAGCCCTTCTTTCCAGCCCCCCCACCCCCCCCCAACTCTCAGTGCCCCACTCTGGCCCTTAGGGGAGGCACAAGCTGTCACAATTTCCCAAGAAGCACATGGATGGTAAAGGTAAGTCCCTGACCAGGCCACAGTGCAAAAAAGCAGGTGTCTCCATGATGAGAGAGAAGATGAAGCACTCTTACATCCTGTGTTTCCACTGCATCCTCTCTGGGGGTGGGGTTGGGGGATTCTGCTCTTGGTCCTTCTCTTTTTCCACGCAGTGCCTAGTGTGAAAAGAGGGGCAGTCTCCTCCCACCTTAGAGGTGGGAGAAGGGCCCAAGAGGAAAGGAACACAGGTGTTTTCTAGGTTAAAGTCATGGCTCACATGTGGCCCATCCCAGCTCCCCAGGAAACAACACCTGGGCTGGGGGGGGCACAGCTCTTCCTGATGAGTGAAGAGTCCTCAGGGTAACCTCCCTGAGACCCTAGGGCAGCAGTGGATGTTGATGAAGGATTTGGACATTCCAAGTCATGGTTCTCCTAGGGGCACAGTTAATACCCGCAACCTTCATGATGCTCTAGAGTCCAAACTTGTCCAGAATCGGTGCCTTGCATCCCTCAATCAAAGCTCACATTCCTTCAGGAACTTTATAAACCAAGTATACCAGACTGCCCTTTCCATTCTCTGTTGTCCTGAAAACCAGATGAGTAAACTTATAAGAATCTCTGCATAAATTAAGAGCAAAACAGCTCCCAATTGGTTCTCCTGAGTGCAAAGTATGCATACTTCAGTGATACCAAGTGTGGTCGCTTAGGTGCCCTTTTTAGCTTACTTCATAATGCTTGGCTGGGCCCTGTGCAGTTGCAACTGTCAAATACGTGAGTTCTAGATAATGTGTTACCACGTCATTACCCTTAGCTCTGATGTATGTCTTCTTAGGGAGTATTTAGCTTATGACCCCCAGAAACCACGTGAGAATCCATCCTTTTCTTATCACTGACCTGGTTCTTTCCCTTCCAGCCAGTACCCCGCTGCAGAGGTGGTCAACTTCGGCACCTGGTTCCTCTTCAGCTTCCCCATCTCCCTCATCATGCTGGTGGTCAGCTGGTTCTGGATGCACTGGCTGTTCCTTGGCTGCAAGTGAGTCCCAGGGCCCTGCCGGCGAGGTACCAAGGCTCTCCTGTCCATCCAGAGTCATGGCGGGAGCCCTGAGGAGCACCACCCAAGGGGGATCTGCCAAATAACCACGGAGGATGCGCAAGGAGAAGACACTGGACTAGACAGGAAGTCAGGCATCCCCTGTTCTAGACACTCTAAACATACATGACCTCGGCACTTCACTATGAGCTCTGCAATGGAATGTTCTTAATTCCAACTCACTGGTTAAAGGAACCGTCAGATTTATAAAAAGTCTGAATGGGAGGGTGGTTAATGTAGTTTCGTTTCTCTCAAAGCATACAGAGTAATTTGAACTAACTTTTAAAGAAATGTGACTCCAAGTATGAGTTTCCTTAGGCTTAATTTTATAGACATGAGTGATTCATACATAGTATGAATAGTAGTTGCATGAAATATTCATGTACCTCTCAAAGTCATAAGTTAGATATTCTTCTTGCAATATTATTTCTGATGTTAATCTGCCTAGCAAGCCTTTCTTCATAACTACATTTCAATCAGCCTCAAACACATAAAGGGAAGATATATATGTTTTGCCATTGGTCCATGGTACCCAAGACTCCCATTGCTCAGGGAATGTTCTCTGAGCTTCCTTTTTTTTTTAATAACTCAGAGGTTACTATCAAATCAATGATAGCTGTATATTTCTATATCTCCAGTATGTAGAAAATACCCCACATAAATACGCTCGCACAAGTCTGTAAGACATGATACTTCACGTCGATACACCAGAGATGTACCCAAATGGATATACCCGGAAGCCTAGGGGAGAGGCTGAGGGCAGGCTGTGTAACCTGGCAGATAAAAGGCACAGGAGAGCTGGGATTGGAGAGAAGAGGGGACAAGTGACCAGAGCAAGCCAGCAGTTGAGCATTTGCTAATCCTTGACTCCTGTGGGCCTCAGAAGCATGTTTCCTTTATTCTTCTGCTCGTTCTTCCTTCTCAGTTTTAGAGAGACCTGCTCTCTGAGCAAGAAGAAGAAGACCAAAAGGGAAGAGGTGTCAGAGAAGAGAATCCAAGAGGAATATGAAAAGCTGGGAGCCATTAGGTAAACATCAGCCATTCACCCTCTCTCCTTCTCCAGGAGAGAGAACATGGCAGGTAAAGTGAGCACACACGCAGCCTTGTTCTCCACAGCCCCTTGAGCTGGGGAATTTTCCACAACTATGAATCCAGGCCTTTAGAGATGCTACTGAATGCCCGAGTCGAGCGGGCCCAGAGTCCAGGTGGCCACCCTTCCCCTTTGCCGTTTTGCAAGTCCAAGGTAGAGCTGCAGTGTCGGGGTGGATGGCGCAGATGGGGCCTCCAGATGGAAAGAAGAGACAAGCACAGCCCCCCTCTTGGAACAGGCCCGGTTCCCCACACCGCTCTGACTGGGCCACCACCAGTCCTGTGGCCACTCCTGGGGAGCTGGGGGGCATCAGGCATTCTCAGATACAGGCTTGAAGACAGAGGGCCTGAGGAATCGCCACCCTCTCGGCCGGTATCAGCTTTCCCCAGTGACCCCATGTCCTGTTTGGTGCCGTTTTTCTCATTTTAGGGCAATAGGCGGGTACAGTCTTGGGCAAAAGGATCCCGGTATAAGCAGTATTTTAAAATGTTTTAATTTATAAAAGGAACACCCGTTCACTGTAGAACATTTAGAAAATACAGCAAAATATAAAGAAAAAAACTAAAATTGACTTCTATTTATTCAGTGTTAACTGTTAACAACTGTTACCATAATGTACTCTTCCTTCCATGCTCCTTTTTGGTGCAAAATTGTATGTATTTTTGCTAAAATTCAGTCCAAACTGAATACAGTTTTAGATCTTGTCCCTTTTTCACTTAGATTTAGACTGTCATTATATTCCCAGGCCATTAGCTCTGCAGTGCAAACATGATTGTTAGGTGCGTCTCATTCGGACCTGTTGTTATACCAAAATGTATTTGATGTCATGGAATATCTTTGAATGTGTAGATTGTTTCCACTTTGAATGTTCAATTTTTGGATAGATAACATATCACTGTGCATTTCTGGTTATTTCCTTACATGAAAGGAAGGACTGAATTTAAGGCTCCTGACATACATCAAATTCCCTCCAAAAAGGACCCCGCTCCTCCCCCCACGCCCCCCCAGCACTCTCCTTGGAGGCCGTGCTCTGCGCTGTATAAACATGCCGCCATACCACCTCACCCCTTCCCGCCTAGCTTCTCCAGGAGACATGGGTGACGTCACGTTTTCTGGCAGCTTCTCAGCAGCTCGGAGCGGTGGGGCAGCCACCGTTTTGTCCCTGGGATGGGGACTCTGAACACAGGCGCACCCCACGCGAAGGGAAAGAGGGAAGAGAACTCTCCCAGCTCCTGGAGCGGCTTTTCCTGTTGTATCTTACAGCTACCCTGAAATGGTAACTGGATTTTTCTTCATCCTGATGACCGTGCTGTGGTTTACCCGGGAGCCTGGCTTTGTTCCTGGCTGGGATTCTTTCTTTGAAAAGTAAGTGGTACTGTCTCCTCCTTAAGAGTAAGCCCCTGACGCAGACCCTTCAGACAGTTCCCACCAGTGTCCCTCCTCGACTCCTCGTAGGGGCAGCCGTGAGCCCAGAAAGCACTCCGTCCCCCTGGAAGTGCCCCCTTCTCAGGGAAGCCCGTGCGGAGTCAGGAAGAAAATACAGTGTGTGGTATCGGGTCTGGGGTTGGCATCTGGTGCTGCCCCGGACCAGCCGTGTGATCTTGGTCTTGTACTTAAGCTCTTGAAACCTCAGCTGTCTCGCAGGTGGCTCTGAGGCTGAGGCACAGAGATCAAATGCCCCTCTGAGAGCCTGAGGGGTGGCTGGGGCCTTGGCAGGCAGAGGCCCCCCGGCCGCCCCTGCAGGACCCCTGAAGCCCGGGCCAACAGATCTCTCAGCTCGGCTTCACAATTGCGCAAAGACACACACGGAGGTGTGACCCTCGCAGGAAAAAGAACTCATCCTTTTCGAGTCCCCTTTACCAAAGTAACTCCTGATCTCTCCTTCTAAGGGGCCCATAGAGCCACACTAAGACGTCTACCCTAGCCAGGCCCAGACTCCAGACTTCAACCCTTGCCTGCTAAATCCACCGCTGGGTAGCATGGCAGCAGCTGCAGGAAGGAAGGCTGACCACCCGCCAGACTGGGTCCTAAGAAGAGGCACTGTGTTCAGACATACTGTCCTGAGACATCGTGCCCCCCCGCCCTGACCCTCCGCCTCCAGCCCTGCTTGTCTCTTTGCTAGGAAGGGCTACCGCACCGATGCCACGGTCTCTGTTTTCCTCGGCTTCCTCCTCTTCCTGATCCCAGCAAAGAAGCCCTGCTTTGGGAAGAAGAGTGATGGTGAGAGAAGTTCAAGGGAAGAAGTCAGGGCTGGCTCTGGTCAATCATACCCAAGGCCGTTCTGAGTACCGCCCCGCCCCCCCACCCCCAATAGCAGAACAGCCTCCCAAATCATCGGTGCATCAGTTAGGCCCTTGTCTCCACAAGCCCCACCCATTAGGATTCATCCGGCTCTCCTGCTGTCTACCTGTGATCCAGGGCAGAACCGGGAGCCCTCGCTGGGGACAGAGCCCATCATCACATGGAAGGACTTCCAGAAGACCATGCCCTGGGAGATTGTCATTCTGGTGGGAGGAGGCTATGCTCTGGCTTCTGGCAGCAAGGTAACTCTTGAATTCTGTTCTTTTGGGACCAAAGATTTTTTTAAGCAGCTTTCCCTAATGAGTCATTTTGATTCTGGAAGGAAGATTCACGGGCACCGAGGGAACAGTTGAGCCAGGCGTGTATCCCCTGTCCTGCCCCGAGCCTCTAAGTCAGTGCTACTGAGATCAGCTGTGTTAGGGAGTCACTCCCACCTCACTCACCGGCCCACACTGCCACAGGCAAAAGATTGACTGCATTTTATAGCCATCTCCTTCTGGGCATTTGACAGTGGTGGGAGGAGATGTGTCTCTAAGGGTCCAGAGACACCGCACACCCACACACAGCAAACTGTCCCTCCCTTGGTCAGTCCATATGCTTATGTTGAGCCCCTTTGGAGAATGTATGCTAAACCTGGCGTAAATGCTATTCACAGACCCTGATTTCCTGATTGGGAGGAATTGGGATGCGATCTTATAAAAGGGGTTGGTGGGAAACAGTTTTATTTCCTAAAGTGTTAGCCCTTCCTGAAATAGGAAACGATCCCCCAAATGAATCAGGTTCACACTGTTTCTCCCTTGACTTTCGCTATATTCATTACCTTGGCTCACTTTTTGACTGCCCATTCGTTGAAGGTCAAGGCCATCTGTATCAGTAATAATAAGATCACAGAATCCTCCACTTGGAAGGAACCTTGGAGGACACCGAGTCTGGTCTCCTACCCGGTTGAGAGAATTCCAACTCCTGGGCTTGGACCCCACCAGTGACAGGGTGCTCCCTGAGCAGGGAACAAAGAATTGTTCTTTACTTTTAGCTCAGATCTTCTGTATGTCTTCCACTGTTGGCTCTGGCTCTGTCCTCTGGAACCCCCGAGGTAATAATTATTAAAGTCATAAAAAGTAATTAGAGCCCCTTAGATCTTTTTTCCCCCCAACAAAAATTCCCTAGTTCCTTCAACCATTCTTCAAGAAGTAGTGACCCCTTACCATGCTGGCCTCTCTCCTCAGCCTCACTACACTTTGCCCTTGGCCTTATTTAAACGTGGTCCAGAGGTGGTCAGTCTACTGCAGCGTAAAGTAGTCATATTACCCAAGCCCCATCTCTCACCTCTGATCCAAGCACCAATCTGTATTTTTATGGAAGCTTTTATAAGGCTTCACTGGCACTCATGTCAACATTTATACTGAAATTGCAGCCAACTAAACCCTCATTCTTTTAATTGTTAGCCACTATTAAACGTCCCATCTTTCAGCCAATCCTGTATATGTGCTGTTGGTATTTCTAATTCCAAGTTCAAAATATCATACTTATCCTTATTGAATTTCAGTTGTTAGTTTTGGCCCCTGAGTCTAGCCTGGATTTTTTTTTTAACCAAAATTTTGTATGTATTACAGATAGCATAGTTGATATTTCTGTAAAATCTGACTCTACTAATTTAATAATATAATTCAAGTGTGATATAGGTGATTCCTACCGAGTCTGAAATAATTTCAGTCTTGACATGAGGAAAATCCAACGTAAAATGTTTTGGTATCAAGGTTTAAAAAAAAAACAAAAGACTTCCTTTGTTGTGCTTTTTTCTAACTTGGCAATCTAATTTATCAATTTATTTCAAATTACAATATAAAATAGCTTCTGGAAAAATTAGCTATTAAATTTTTTTCACTTTACTTCTGAGTACTATCTGGATAATGTGATCAATGGAACTCCACTTCTTTATAAGTACTGTTTCCACTCAGCTAACTGCTCTTCCTCCCCTTTGTCCAGTGGGTAAGGTTTAATGTGTTATAAGAGGTAACAATCACAGAGTTCCTGTCGGCCCCAAAGCTCGGTACCAACCATGAATTGCTGTAGTCCCCACGTGCTGGATTTGCAGCTCACCGGCAGTGGAGCAAAAAGAGAAAAGAAAGTGCTCCCAGGGGGCGTCTGCCTTCAGCTCAGGTCATGATCCCAGGGTCCTGAGATGGAGCCCCACATTGTAGTTGGGCTCTCTGCTCAGCAGGGAGCCTGCTTCTCCCTCTCCCTCTGCCTGCCGCTCCCCCTGCTTGTGCTCTGACAAATAATATCTTAAAAAAAAAAAAAAGAAAGAAAAGAAAATGCTCCCAGGTAAAAGGGCCACAGCAGAGATCAAAAAGCCTTTGGTGAATTCGGAAAAGGGGAGAAAAATCAGCCTGCTGGTAATGTGGTGAGTCTGTCTCTAACAGTAAAATATGAGTAGGACTTAGAGCTTGAGGAATCATAGAATGTCTCACCTTGCTTTGGGCCCTACTCTCCATGTCTGTAATGCATTGGCAGTCTCTAGGAAAAGTTAGAGCACATCAGCCATAGAAGAGAGAGGAGGCGGCAGGGAGGGCCAGCGAATGCATATGGCAACCTGAGGTCTTTAGTACAAAAACTCAACCGTGTCCTTTAATTTTCTGAGGGAGGGAGGGAATCTTCACTATTGACCAAAGGAACAGCTTCTAACCAAAGAAGTTATTCCAAGTGGGAAATATTCATTTATTGGAGATCTATATAAATTTTGCTAATGGAGAAGGTTCGAGAGTGGCACCATGCCTTCGTGTCGTGAAAAAGCACTGGTGAACTGTAGATCCTGATGTCAGCCATGATGAGACTGAACCTGAAACAGGCTGGACGGCCATGATCAGCTTTGTGGGCCAGCCAGGTGGCACCCTCGCACTGAGTGCAGATAGACTGGGACTCCCTCTATGTAAAGCTTCTAGTGTTCAGCCCTGCCCACTGACTCTCCACAAGCCACAGGAAAGGTTACTGTCCGGAGATGTTGATAATCTTCCCCCCTTTCACAGGTGATAAGAGAGCTAGATTTCAAAAGGAGAATTCAGGATTACATTGGGGAGTCTGTGTCAAAATCACTGTTGACTGGATGCACAGAGTGAGAACGTCAGAGGCTGGAGAGAGTAATAAGATTGAAGTTGAAGGGCCCGTTGCCCCAAAGATCTCTAGCCCCTGCCAAGCCGTCATGGCAAAATCCTGAGAAGAATCATAGCCATTAGGATGAACGGCTCTCCATGCACTGTGACGACTGCCCAGGAAACCCTAAGACTGAATGTTACTACGATCATAAAGAATTTTCTGGGCTGAAAAAATGATCTCATCATCAAATCAATAATGCTTCTGGGTCCAGTCTGCCTGAAAATAGGATGGCAAATTAGATGCCTCCTAGTGGTTCCTTCCAGCCCCCCAACATCCCTGACCTCCTGGAGTCTAAGAATTCCACGGGAATGTGTTCTTCCTCCTCTCTTCTTACTCTATCACCCGTCTCCCTGCAGACCTCTGGCCTCTCCACGTGGATTGGGCACCAGATGTTGTCTCTGAGTGGCCTCCCACCGTGGGCTGTCACCCTTTTGGCATGCATCCTGGTGTCCATTGTCACAGAGTTTGTGAGCAACCCAGCCACCATCACCATCTTCCTGCCCATCCTATGCAGCCTGGTGAGTAGGGCAGGGTCCCCAGATGTCTGGAGGGGCTACCTCGGGCCCAGGGAGCAGCTCCCCAGCTGTACTCTCTCCTCTGATCATTGCCAGACTTCACTGATTGGCCTCCAGCCATAGTTTGGAAATGAAGTGTTTCAAATTTGATAGACAGACAGACAAATTGTAGCAAGGGTTCTAGAAACCCTTTTCTGAAAGACTAGGATTAATTTAGAGGCAGTCCTGAATGGAAACAAGAATGCACAGAATATCCTTAAAACCCTAGGATTCCAATTCCTCACAATCATCATTTCTTTCTCTCCTAAGACCTAAGAGTAGGGCCAGAGGAATAACTACAGAAAATGGGGGCAAAATGATCCCAGAGGTACACTCAGCTGTAAAGACCAAGACCACAGTTCTATCATCACCACCTCCCTCCAGTTTCCCTGTCCAGGGGGTTCTGAGAATTGAGGCAATGCCAGCCTCATCTCATGGTCTCAGAACAATTTGTTATTCATGAATGAGAGGAAGGGAGCAACTCCCAGATCTCAGCCTGGCTAAGCAGTCCCCAAGATAACGGACCGGACACAATGCTGCATCTGTCCCATTCGTGAGGGGAAGCCTATCAAATGAAGGCTCCTCCCCATCCCCAACAAAATGATATCCTTCTGCTTTAACCCCAGACTACCCCCAGCCACTGTCTTTGCTCTTTGCTCAGGTGTCTCCTTCCAACTGCTCCCTCCATCATCTCATTTGTGTGAGCCCTGGCGTGCACTTAGTTAAAACTCGGCAACACTGAGGGCAAGACCATGGGTTTCAATCCCATACAAAGCAAACATCACCTAGAAAAACACCTTAGTTCTGCACCCCAAGGATGAGGGACCCCTACCTCAACCCAAGCAGCTCATTCATGAGATTTGAGTTTGAAGAATGAATCTCTCAGCTAAAGGATAAAATTAGACCAGCACCAAGAAATGAAACATCCCTCCTAGGAAGGAACTCAGAGCCCGTGTTTCCATGGGAGTGAGCAGCATGAGGCCCTTGAGAGTAGTGATTTAACTGCCCCTAGCACATGGTAACCAGCCAAGGTTAGCCAAAATCAAGCCACCTTTTAAAGCATGTTTGTGATGTGAAGCCCAAGAAATGCGAGCCACATCTCAACGCTGATGTTTCTGTGAATTCTCTCCTCCTAGTCTGAAACGCTGCACATTAATCCACTCTACACTCTGATCCCAGTCACCATGTGCATCTCGTTTGCAGTAATGCTGCCCGTGGGCAATCCCCCTAACGCCATTGTCTTCAGCTATGGGCATTGCCAGATCAAAGATATGGTAAGTCGTGGATGACCTCTTCCTGCCATGAGGACAGGGATGAGTGGTTCCACAGCCTTCTCCTGAGGCTTATCATTTTGTAGCAGTGTCTGTGATCTGTCAACACTCAGTCTAGTGTGGTCGAAAGAATGGTGCTGGCAAAAAGGCCTTCAGCTGGTCCACAAGCACCAAGAATAGCAAGAATGTGCTCTCCCACCCTTATCCGGGAGAAAGCGGGTACATAGACGGAGAAAGCTGGAACAGACCCGAGATGCAGCCCAGGGTGAGAAGGCACAAGGCTCTGCCTCAGTTTCTTCACTGGACCAGTGGGGATGTTCATTGCAAAAGCTGCCAGTTTACTCACAGAAGCGAAGTAGGAGAAACTGTAGGAACCTAGGGTGAAAGGTCTGAGGGGACAGGACCCTCCGTTGAACGCAAGAAGCCCTGAGGCAACAATGGCAAAATGAAGCACCCACACCTCATTTCCTAGTTCTCAGCTGGACTCCAAGATGGCTCTGAGGAGACATCTGGTCAGAGTGTAGTGTTGGGCCGATTCACACTCGACCCCTCAACGTATACTCACTGCTGTGCTCCTGGATGTCCAGGCCACTGGGAGAAAGATGAAAACCACTCCTAATTACTGGGGCCGGGCTGTCGGAAATAGGGCTCGGTCCCCCTTCCCGAGGGTCTCACACATTCAGCAGCCCTATAAATAGCACACGGAGGAAAGGGAGAGCTTCAGGCCGGTCGCAGATATTCAGATCCTTCCTACCATTCAGACCACTCATCAAAGTCATCTGTAATACCTCAGGGAAGGGAGGGCACGGCCATCGCCCCCCCACCTCTTACCGCACAGCCCCGTCTGCTCGAGAGTTGAGCTCGGCCTCGACTCTCCTGTCCGCCCACCTCCTCCCCTGGGCGCCCTCGCCACTTACCCCCGCCCCACGCCACCGTCTCGTCTGGAATCAAGGGATCAGAGATAGTGCCTTTCAAAGGTACCGGATGACAAGAAGTGAGCCAGTCGTGGGTTCTAGTCCCAGCCCGGCACTGACCTGAGACCTCCATTTCCTCATCTGCGAAAGATGGAGATTCCAACTAGAAACTCTGCACGGTTCCTTTCAGCTCTAAGTGACTTGAATTCAGCCCCTTTAGAACCTGCCTCCTCTGGTTAGGGGACCTGGGCAGCTCTCCACGCCCAAAGCCCAGGGAGCCAGGATGATGAGTAAGTCCCGGGCTCCGGCCAGAAATCAGAGAAGCAACACATCTAGTCACTTGCTTGGAACATTCATTTTCCCTCACAGCTTTCCCAACTTAATGCCAGCTAGTGGACCCGTGGTGGCTACAGCGCTGTGCTTTGTTCCTCCCTCACAGGCTGCCAGCCACCCTTACCGTCCTTTCCAGCCGGCCCTGGCTCTGCCAGCCATCATCCCTCACAGCACCCTCAGCCTGTGTCAATCCCATGGCAGAAATGGGAGGGTTCAGGGTCATGGAAGTGACATTCCCTCAGCAGAAAGAAGCAAAGCTAGCGTGTCTGTGTCACCCTCCATGGAAGGAAGGGCTGAGCAGAGGCAGCTGACCTGGTTCTCCAAGTGAACCCAAGGGACACTACTTTCCATAAGCTGTTCCTTTGGAAAGGAAAAAACAGTCAACAGTGGCAAAGGCTTCGTAGGATAGGGCCTCTCCTACAGGTCCCCATATGTGTCAGCACAATAAAGGCTCCAAGAAGTTCCTGCCTTAATGCATTTCCCTATCATGTAGCTACAGGATCCTCACGTGTAATAACTCTTAACATTCTAAGACCTGGTGTTCCAAGTACACACCTTCCAGGCCTCCACTTGGGAATGAGAACCCAAGTGGAGACGGTTCTTATGGCCTCTCCCGTCCTTCCACAGTCCCGAGCCACCCTTGGAGGCAACCCTACAGATCCCAGGCAGTGACTGAACAGATCAGGGCCAAGGCCTGGGTGGGGGGCACAGAGAGGAGCACTGGGGGATCTGTGCTGCTGCCTGCTTAGTGACTAGGGTGGGCTGGTTTGTGTCCTGTAGGTCAAAGCTGGCCTGGGGGTCAATGTCATTGGCCTGGTGATCGTCATGGTGGCCATCAACACATGGGGAGTTAGCCTCTTCCACTTGGACACTTACCCAGCCTGGGCGAAGGTCAGTAACATCACTGATCAGGCCTAACACAAGTGGGCAAACGGTCCAACCAAGAAGCTACCAGCACCTAAGAGAATCTGACCAAGAGGCCAAGAAAGCCATCAGGAGCACACAAACAACACCATCTGCCACCTCAAGTGAAGTGCAGCAAGCCTCTGACAATCAAAACACATGCTTGGATGTTAGTGCCTTCTGCTCGGCCCCCTTCCTTAGCACCATAGTTCAGGAAGACCTGTGATCTTTCTCACTTCCCGTATCTTGGGCTCTCCACTTCTTTCTGAAGACAGGAAGAGAAGAAGACCTTAGTTGCCCCTCAGAGGCTAAGCCTCACAAACTAGCCTCACTAGGTTTATTCTTAATATCTTACCCCCTTTTTAGGAATTGAAGGGGAAATCCAAATCATCCTACCTATGCACAGATAACGAAACCAGTTACATCTCCTCTTTCAGAGGAAAATCTCCCCCAGAATTTTCTCTTCAGTGTTTCTATCCTAAGCTCTTACCACAAAAAGGCAATGTTGGTAAGTCCTCTTTATGGCAATCAGTACTCTTTTATCATTACTTAAGCATCTCCCTTCAATGGCTTCTCTTTACCTTTGGCACCAAATTCCCATAAATAGTGTTCTCCCTTAGAAAGGGGCTGGTAGGGTTCTGTCAAAGGAAGAGTAGAGGAAGACAACATATTGAAGTTAGCACAGGTATCCCCCGCTTTTCAAAAGTTCTAGTTATACCACTTCACTTTTACAAAAGACCTACATTAGTACCTATTTTCGCTAACCGAAAGAAATCTGAGGAGGATTTTCAGGTTTACGAGAAGAGCCCAAGTAACGTTCAGCACTGGTTTTGCAGCGAGCGCTTAGAGGAGCAGTGTGCAACCTGAGCAGCTAGAGTGGTGCCACCACGCCCCCTCCCGGGAAACAACACCTAGTATCTCAGCATCCAGCTGCCAGAGCTGTGAACATCTGGGCTTTATCTTTATTTTGTGCCCCTGTTAGCAAGTGTCCTAAGGTATCAGAGAAGCCTAAGAGAGGTTCTTTTTTGAGTCTGCGAATGCTCAAATATTTTTCCATATAAATGAATCGTAACTGCTTCTTTGCTCGATGCCATCTCAGCTTACAAAAGGTTTCATAGGAATGCTCTACTTTGGGGTAGCGGGGGACACCTGTCTCTCGCTCATCACTTACCACTAACCCTCAATACCACTGCATTGGTTCAGTTGGGAGGGAGAAAAAATTCTCATACCTGTCTTATTAATGAGGCCAAAACTATCATTAAAACCACAGTACTATTAATGATATCTGACTAGCCTTCTTCTGGATGTAATGAGGAATTCGTTCCTGAGAAGACGAGTACAGAAAGTTCCAAACGCATCAGTCACTTTCTACAAGTCAGTGAGCCCCTTGAGGGGAGAGAAGATGTCTTATGTTCCTGAAAGTCTCCAGCAACTTATACAATATAGTAAACTAACTACTCAATAAATGTTGCCCGTGAGAAAAATCACTTCGGAAATCAAGGCCTCCTGCTTCCTCCTGAAAACCATGCCATTTTCCCCACGACAGATGTCCTTGCTATATGACTGGATATAGCTCCCAAGCCCCCTGCCAGCTTGTAGGCAATACATAGTTCTGACTTCTACCACCAGTTCCTTGCTAAATCGGTCTTTTTGGATAAGGAATATCCCACAGTTACTCCATTCTTTTAATTGATTTAAATTACTATTGATAGCATAGGCAGTTTTCCCACACAACTTATCAATAAAGTCACTCCCTTAGTTTATCAAGTATCTGTGAGTTCTAAAATTTCTTTTGTGCCGGCCAACACTAGCATGCTCTGACCACAGCACAACTGACCAGATTTACCATGAATATTACTGCTTCTGCCCTATCAACTGGCTTGGGCCATGTTATGACTCCTTATAAAAAAATAAAGACCTACTGAGCCCAAATAAAATACTAGTGTTATGTACACTATAGCTGGTTTGATCGAGTCAGCATCTTGAGTTATTTTGCTATAAAATGTTCAGAAAAGTCAGGGTGTTCTCGTATTGTCACAGCTGCCAAGTTGTCAACTGTCTGACCCATTACAGAACTTAGCCACCAAGCCTCTATTCACATTAAGACAAAGGTGCAAATAATAAGATTTCGAGAATATAGCTAAGTAAAAAGAGAAAGAAGAGGTGACTTAGAATTAAGCGGACTTAGAATTCCTGGCCACTGCTCAGCATTTGAGAACCTCATTCAGTCCTAAAGGGAAAGCAGTGCAACTCCTCTCCGCAGCTGCAGCCAGATGCTCCGAGGGGCTAGTGCACTCAGTTTAGAAAGAGCATTTATTTCCATCAGCTCCACCGACTCTTCCCAAGAGCAGCACTCTTCCTTCCCAAAGCCAGAGCACAGGCTAACCAAGCCTGCTCCTTCCAGTGACAGGAAATGTCAGCGATGACTAACAACTCCTTGTCATCTAAAATCACTCCACTGGTGGACAGTAAGTAAGGGCTCGCCTTAGTATTAGTAGTCTTAGGTCTCTTGCACATATGTTCTAATTTGATTTTTATCTTCTAATATCACAACACTATATGGATGAAAAGCAGTAATGATCATCTTATACCAGCTCATTTTATAGATGACTGAGAAACGAAGACCTTATAGTTGTACCATATTTTCAAGTCAATTACATACCAAACTTGCTTAATTGCCTTTGACATTCCTTTAAGTCACCCATGAAGTACATGGTACAATCTTTTATATTAGGATTTACATAGCAAAGACTCATGAACCATCTTTTAGTAAATTAAAGATAGCTAGTTTTCCCTCAGAAATGTCAGAATAAATCTGTTTCTTCAGTTGAATACCAAATAATGCAGTTGGCTTCACACTTAGGGACCATGTTTGAAAAAGTACATGTGGGGGCACCTGGGTGTCTCGGTCGGTTAAGCGTCTGCCTTGGGCTCAGGTCATGACCCCAGGGTCCTGGGATCGGGCCCCGCGTCGGGCTCCCTGCTCGGTAAGGAGTCTGCTTCTCCCTCTGCCTCTACCCCTACCTCATGCTCTCTCTCATACTGTCTCAAAACCTTTAAAAAAAAAAGAAGAAAAGAAAAAGTACATCTAAACATTAGAATAACTCTCAGTATAGCAAAATGTTCAAACCATTGGCACACAAAGGCCAGAGAAAACCCTAGTACACAGGTAACCCATCCTGCGGCTGCCCTCACTAAACAAATTCCAAGCACAACTGCCCAGCCATTTACGTGGTGACTCTTGTCCCGATGCTGTACAGCTGCACATGCAGGAATGATGCAACCACACTGCCCCTTTCAGAAGGCCTTGCCACATGGGCAATGATCCAAGCAGACCACAACTCACGCTTTGCAATGCCCCACTCTGTTCACTTTCCATAAAACCCCACTGTTCTGTCATTTCCCAGTGCCTTGCAAAAAAAATGTACTTGACTCAATTATGATGCATGGAGATTTAGAAAAGGTATAGACTAAACATGAAAATCTAAGTGTCACAAACTCCCCTATTAAGACCAGGCAAGATCTCAAAATATGTTCCCTTCACCACCCTGTTGCCTTCCACAAGGCCCTAACAGTCACTAGGGAAAAAAGAACTCATTCATGAGTAAGGAATGGAAATGTTATGTGCAGAGTCTAAGATGGTAAGTTTAAGAAGAGCCTTATTTGCTCCAGTACAGTCTGTGGTGTTCCTTCCAGGAGAATACCAGAAGAAATACTAAAAAGGCAAGAGACCTCAGCAGAAAAACAAACACCGGCAGAGTATCTAGGGAGTGAACTGCGTAGTGGAAATGAAAACATTATGCGTGTGTACATATGCTCTATGAACCCGTATGCACAACTAGAAAAACCACACACTGTAACTTTCTCTGCAGTCCTACAAATGAAAATTGAGTAAATGGGTTAGAAAAAATGAAATTGTTCCTTTAAATCAGGAGGTCACTGCTTAATTGCATAAAACACCAAATCAAAAGAAATGTCTAAAGGCATCAATTGGTAACTTCAAGTCCTAAAATATAGCCCCTTTTGAGGATTTTAAATACAGTTGTTTGGGTTTTTCTCTCCCTTTGTTTGGGAGGATGATGGTTTAAGGATAAACTTTTCAAGTTCATTGTGTTTATGAAGTTCCCAACATCAATCCTAAAGTCTTATTTTGTACAGTTGGTAACCTTCCTTTTATGATCAGGTATGGCCAAAAGTTTGCTTAAATCACATCAACAGGAGTTTTCAAACAGTTTTAAAAGAAGAGTATGTCTTGTGATTCTTCCCATCCCTCCGATGGTTTGTGAAGCAAAAGTCCCTACAAAACCCCCGGGGAACGCAACTCTTAGTGCCACAATCACGATCACTGCAACCCTTACCCACATTACAAAATTTCAGCCACACCCTAAAATCTGTGATGGTTCTGAGCTCCTCTATCTCAGGGAGGATAATCTCACCTGAGAACTCTGAGCCCTGTTTCGCTGCTGCAAGAACCTAAAACTACAAGAGGGTACCTGAAGAGTGACCACTGAGGCAGCCTTTTTTCACTGTGTTGCAGTTCACATGAAGGTGAATGCAAGAACGGAGTTGCTGGATGGTTCCCACTGGTAGAAATGAGCCTATTAGCAAAGGGAAGAGTCAGTCATTCCTGAGGAAGCCCTATATCCAAATGAGATTAGACATAATATAGAGATACTTAATCTCCTACTACCTAAATTACCTTTATCCCTAAAAAGCCACTCTGGAAACAACACACGAGCAATCATGCTACCATAACTGTGACAAGGAATCCCTCTTTGGAAGCCCCTTTCTAAGCTTGTAGCATTTTGAATACCCTCAAAGGTGGTAAAACTTTATCCTTCAAGGCTGTGGTTCATTCTGCTAACAATTCAGTCATTCAAGGTCAAATCTTGTGAACCAGGAGGTATGATCAAGGTAGATACTCTAGATTTTCATCAGCAACCAAGAGAGTGACCACAGAATGACAAATTTTGCATGGCTCATAAACTGGTTCCAAAAAAATGACTGCAGAAAAATAAAGTATTCTGACCAAAAGCAGCATGTTTGGACCAATATCTATTATTTATTGGGCAATTTGCAAAGCACTGTGCAACACATCACATACATTATCTCAACTGTTTCTCAGGTGAGCCGTGTGAGGTAGATATTGCGTCCACATCTTAGAGAATACAACAGTGTCAAAAAATAAGCCCCTTGCCCATGATCTCACTTCTAGGGTGAAGCCAAAGCATAATATGCTGTTAATCTGTATCACACACCAGGACAAGCTGCCAGAGATAAAACCTATACCCATGAATGAGAGATCCCTGTTTCCAAAGAGAAACAGAACCCCTTTGTTTTAGAATCACACAGTACCAATGTCATCACCGTCTGAAAAAAAGGTGTCTCTAAATTCCTCTTTTCAGTTTATGGATTCTGCTAAAATGTCTTCAGAAATGGCATTATCAGTGAGCTGCCCAACAAGTCCCTAAAACAAAACACACAATCAAATGGGACTTTATCTAGAGTTAGTGCAAATTACACTTTTAGGGTTTAGTTTATAGCTATACCCTGCACAGATATGTACAGTAACTTTAGGTTCAAAGTTATCACTGTAACAGCAAAAGACAGGAAACCTAATGTTCATCGGTAACAGATTAAATGCGTTATGGTATATCCATTCAATAGACTCTCATGTAGCCAAAAAAGGGAAAGAGGTTTCTTGTTCCTTACATACTGATATGGAATGATCTCCATTAAGGGGGAATAAAGGGGGGGGGGGCGAGGAGTGAACTCAATACAGTTATGATTTGTGTAAAACTCCCCCACACACACACATGTATTTGTTTAGGCACAGAATCCTTCTCAGAGTATACAGGAGACTTGATAGTGCCTGCCTCCAGGAAGAGGAACTAGGAACTGAAGGAGAGGAGTATGAGAGGCCCTTTGTTCTGAATCACTTTTGTATCCTGACCCAGGGTACAAGTGATGTATACAAACATTTAATTTTTTAAAAATGGACTAATTATATATTTGACAAATTACAATGTGATTTCTCTTTCTCTCCTTTTTTTTAAGATTTTATTTATTTCTTTGAGAGAGTGAGAGAGAGAGAGCACATGAGAGGGGGGAGGGGCAAGGGAGAAGCAGACTCCCCGCCGAGCAGGGAGCCCGATGTAGGACTCGATCCTGGGACTCCAGGATCACGACCTGAGCCGAAGGCAGTCGCTTAACCAACTGAGCCACCCAGGCGCCCTCTCCTTCTTTCTTAAAGCAACAGAAGTTTACTGAATACACTGCAAGGGGACAACGGGCAGGACAGCAAAGGAGAGACTGCCAAGAGGTGGTGGTGAGGGGCCACAGTTATAGGGAGAAATAAGGGACTACAGAATTCTCCCTTTCTGGCAATCTTAGGGACCATGACCGGTTTTAAGTAGCCCATTGGTTGGTTAGGGCCTATGGCTTAATGAGCCTGTTTGCGTCAGCTTGGCGGTCACTGTGGGCCCTTTTGCCTTGCTCAGGTTTTTACTGCTCAAGCCTGTTGCCTAAAAGTGGCCTCTCTGTTCCGCCCTGATGGATCAACAATGACAAATCTTTGGCAATTGGGTGGAGGTCTCATCTTCAGTAGCTTCTTCCTGCTAAATGAGGAACTTAGAGATGTCCCTACCTACGGGTCAACATACAATGGTGATTTCTGACTGCAGGGAAAAAAAAAAAAAACCCTCAAAGTTTCTCATGAGAATCACTATAAAGGTATAATGTAAATACATTTTTAATGTCAAGAGACATAAAATTTCCTTTACAACTTGTCATTTATCCATCATGTAACGTCAAATGCACCTGTAATCCCCTAAGATAAGTAGGATTCTTTTGAGGGAAAAGAGCCAAATCAAAGACACGATTAAGGAAAAACACGCGTACTAGACTATGAATTCTACAGAGGATAAGGGCCATTATTTTACATTTTTAAACTAACTCCCTAGTTCCTGACAGGGTTCTCAGAATATAGTTTCTCAGTTAATGAGTAGTAAATTGATTTACTGATTAAATTAGCACTTATGGAGCTGTCTGACAACAGTATATACTAAGTGGATAATTCCGGAGTAACTGGCTTCTGGGCTTTAATTTTAATGACTTTAAAACAACATAATTTAGTACCAAATGTTTAAAACACCCATTATAATCGCTAAGCTGTGTAATCAGCATTATTTATGTCTGATCGGCTATATAAAACTCATCAATTTTTCTTTAGAAAAGAGTAGAAATTCCAAGAATAAAGGAGAGACTACAAATTAAAGGTCACATTTACTAATCTAGCACCATAATTCCAGTCTCAGGCCATCTCAAGTGGCTGGAAGGAGGAAGGGATGAGGTGAGGAAGTTGAAAAAGGGTGGTTCTTAACTTGTGGCCCCATCTATGCTCTCAAGCGACGCAGGATCTAACAGGAAAATTGTTGAGGCTGGAATTCAAAACAAAAGCTTTTGGTTCAGATGGTAAGGAGGCCCTCAAGAACAGCAGAATCCGTATATCCAGAAGGCAGTGCTGGAGTCCGCCTCATGAACTAGGGGGTTTCTTCTTGGCATCCAAGTCCTTTTTAATTTCTTCTAGTTTTTTAGCCAGGTTTGGTATCTTTAAAGAGAAAAAAGATTATTGTAATTTTTCATCAACCTAATCAATAGTCTTTTACTTCTCTTTCTCCAACAATAAAGGGTTGTTGTACAAGTCTTTATTTTCCTCTGAAAGTAACCTGATAAACAGGCGTCCTAACTGCATAAGAAGGATCTCAGAAGTTGGAAAGTAATGTATGCTCCCTCCCTGAAAGCCAGATTCTGACTTCTCCTTTTATATACTCACTTAGCACCTCAATCCAGTGCCAAGTAGAAGCTGTACATATAAACAGTAAAGGTGATATAAATTAATAAAGCTCCTTCCTAGAAAACCATATAACTCAAGTGAAGGTTGATAAAGAATTTCTTTTGTCACATTAAAAGCTTCACCACAAACAGATCAAAAGTTAGTATCATGTTTCCCTTCCTTTCCTCTTCCCGCCCCTTCCTTCTTTTCCCTCTCTTTACAACACCCCTTCCAGAATTCCCATTCATGGGCAGTTTTGTCACCTGGTTTTCAACTTCCCATCTATAAAATGAGGCTAATATAACTCCTCACTTCACAAAACTCTGACCTCCTTAACTAAGCTGCATTATAAAGATCCATCACTAAAATTCTCAGTCATTACTACCACGTAGCAGGTAGTACACTACCAATTAGTCTTTAAATTCCCACTTATCACATAATTTTCCATAGAACTGTAAGAAGACTCTAACTTAGTAATTAATTACTCTGGGCTAACAAACATGGGTCAGGATCACAAGACCATCTTAAATTGATGGGATTTTGCCCTCTTGTGGTGATATGGAGGACAGATGCTTCTGTGAGGTGTATTTTTCAAACAATGGAAAATCTTTCTACAAAATTCAGGACATTTTCCTCAGATTTATGGACTTCATTTATGCTGGAAGGCATACCTGACTTTAACAAAGACAAATCACTACAAATTTGTGACATGGAATCAGGGTGGACATGGATATGGTCACTTACGTCATAGTTCTGAGCCAGATACATTCCAACCACGTTGCCAAAAGTAAATCCAAGCTGAAAGAATAGAACAGGAAGAGTTACACCGGATACCAAGTTCTGTGCCATCTGATACCATACCAAACTATATATAGACAATAGTCTAAGGAGCTCAGGACAGTTCAAGACCCCAGTTTCCAGTCTAGGGCTAGGCAGTATGAGATTCAGTTTTCTTCTATAAAATAAACATAAAAATACTCTCCCAAAAGGTTAAAGAGCATACAAAAGAGAATAAATGGCAGCACTAAACAAATCTACCCTAGATTCTCCCTGTCCCCTCACAACCTCCATAAATACTTAACTGTCAGTTCCAGAAACCCAAGCCAAAGAGATGATTTTGTTGTTAAAAGTAATTTGTTTTTTGTCTGTCTTTCTTTTTTGGTTATAAGTATTGTTACCTCTTGCTACATTAAGTTAAAAATATCCGATTAAAAAGTACTCAGCTAAACTGTATTATCTTGGACAATGAAGAGATTTTCACAATTCTATCTCTTCATACCTGAGGCCCAGGGTAACGAAGTGATTTTTTCAGGGTCATTCACAACAAAGGAACACAGAACCTAAATTAGATTCACACTCAAAACCGAAAATGTATCATGACAGAAGAGCATGGGAAACTCTGACATACAACTGAGACAGCACATGGCTTAGCACTCTGCCATGGGTGGAACCTAATGGGCAGAACACTTAAGACCTGTGGGGGACAAAGATTCCCTAACCAGCTCTTACTCAGTGAGGAGAGACAGGCATGATTAATTTTAGAGAACTATAAATGCTTATGCCACTGGGTGACTATTTTCCTAAACAAAACCTGTTTCATGAAAATTTAAAGCACTCCATTCACCACAAAAGAACCGAAGCTCATTAAACTTTGAGTTTAATGATGATCCATAATTCCCTGGGGTTTTTTCCTCCAATAATTAACAATCTCCAATGGGATGCCTAATTTCTAATTTCATAAATTCAAACTGGCATTTGTTTTTTTGTTTATCATTTTCTCTAATCGGCATTGCTCCTATTCAATACACAGCAGAGTTTAACAGAAAAAGTATGGCACTTAACACCGTCAGTTCTACATGGTGTGGTCAAACCTTCTCTTCAAGTCAGAGATACATATAGGGAAACAGAATACAGCCTTCCTGAGCTTTAAACACCAAAAGCATAATTTAAATTGGTTGTTAGTTAATTAAGGAGCATAAAAGCAGCTATCCATTCTCTAATCAGAGTCCATTTTCTAATCATTTGATTAATTAGGCACATTCTGTGAAATAATAGTTTTACCAAGTTGGCACCAAGAAGCAAAATGATTTTTTTCACTCCTGTGGGTTGAAACCAGGTAGACAAAAGTTTTCCAAATCCAGAAAGAGTATTATATTTACTTGTAAGAAGGTGGCAAGGGGCGCGGGGGAACCAAATGAGAATTTTAGCTCTAACACCAGAGAAAATAACAGGGTGAAAATTTTCAAGAAAAATAGAATTCTGGTTCTACTACTCACTATCAAGCTGTGTAGCTGTACTGATTGGAGTTTCCTGATCTATAAAACACTATACTAACAATGTTCCTTCCAGCTCCAACATTCTAGGATTCCTGGTTCTTACCACGTGTGTCTCAACATAAATATGGCATATCTAATGTTGGCTTCACTTTGGCAATTTCACCAGCACATGAAAAATTGGTAGTTGTTTTAAAACACAAAACAAAACAAAAACTATGGGCCTCTAGACAAGTGCTATCCAGTTCCAGTTTCAGAACACCACCAGGTCTACCACTGGGATATTGTAAAATTAAATACACAACATAAAAGAAATGTTACATATTAAGTGAAATGTTGAGGAAAATGCATGAAGCCAGAAAAGCATTTATATGTTATTCATGGGATGCTCACTAGGCAAGTTGACACAGAGAAAACATTTTAATCTAATAAAAAATATAAAATATAAATCTGAGGAATGGTGACTCATTAGTCTGACAAGTTAGATTGGAGCCAGATTATAGAAGGCCTTGAATGAGTCTGCAACCTCTCTGCAGGGAAAGATTGCTTAACTTCTTCCAAGCCAAGACCTGGACGCCTCGTCAGGCATCCATCCAGATGGCTGTATGCCACCTCCACGGGGCCCCCTCCACATCACTGATTTCCCCACAGTATTCCCTGCAGAGAAGGTAGTGCAGAAGAAAGAAAAATGACTGCTTCCCAAGTTCAACACTAAATAAATTACTATCACATCCCTTCTGCAATCATATATAGCTGCTTCTCACACGCACATGGGGGACAATAAATGGTAAAACACCAGAAATGTGGGGACAGAGGAGTGACATGAGCAAAGTGGTCAGAGAACAAATGGGTAGGAAGAAGAGGCTACAGCTAAGAGCCACAGGAGGCAAGTCTAGACTGGCCCAGGCAGCGTACATAAGAGACAGAATTTTCCAGCTCTACAATTACACCATACACTTAGAATTGGTGAAGCTCCTCAATCTATTACAATTCTGAAACCCAAAACTCTAATCAAACTGTTTCACTATAACTCAATTGGCACCAAAATCACACCTGACCTGAACTGATATGATACTATTTATAGTCTATCACATTTCAGTGCGAATACTCACTTTTTGCTACAGAAAAAGCAATCTTTAAGCATAGGATCCTGCCCCACATCCCACTGGAGAATATGTAACAGTAAACATTTTAATGTAGGTCATTAAAGAGTGCTATCCCAGAGTGCTACTGAGTTAAATAACAAGGTATATGCAGCTTTAAACCCTTCTAGAATCTTTAAAAAAAAAAGTCAAATACATCTGGCCCCCAAAGGTTTTGATTAAAAGATTCAAGACCCTTATATACTAAAAATAAATTCATATTCAGCCCTGTGAAGGGATTCTAAAACGGTCCCTACACATTTTAAGAGTTCATACAGGATGTGTAGGAAGAAAAGCTACATTTAAATAAAATAGTTATATAACTGAAGGCAGCAGCCAGTACAGGACCCTGAATGTAACAGATGCAGGAAAAACCAGAAATGGGTCATGGCATTAAGTGGCCACATGAATGACACAGAAGTGATTCTTCTAAGAAACCATATGTGAAAGAGACCACTGTACCTCAACTTATTAAAGCCTCTAATTATGCTGAGAAAGTACTAAAATTTAAACTGGGAAGGGAACTGAATGTGGAGAATCAAGGCATAAGGTATGGATGAGGAGATGATGACTTGACTAAAAGAAATAGGACCGATCAGAAGAGAATTTGAATTTAGAAATGGAGAGAAATAAGTATGGAGCCCTGAGTAGGGCTGGCTCAGGGACCTCAAAGAGCAGGCAAAGTTTAGTTCCCATGTAACCTCAGTAGGGAGCCAATGGCTACTCTTTACCAGCAACAATACGATGAAAGCACTGCTTTGGAAGTATTCACCTAGCAGCTCTACTCAAAAAAGGCTGAACAATGAATAAGTACAGATCAGAGAAGGCCCAGATTAGTGTGGTAGCAGAAGGGACGGGAAGCAAACATGACTGAATTGTTTTTCTTCTTAAAAGTCAATGATGATGATCGCAATACAGGCTCTTAACTATAGAGAACTGATGGTTACCAGAGAGGAGGTGGGTGGGGGGAATGGGTGAGCACCGAGTAATACACAAAATTGTTGAATCACTATATTGTACACCTGAAACTAATATAACACTGCAGGTTAACTATACTGGAATTAAAATTAAAATTAAAAAATAACAATTAAAATAAAAATCAATGATGACCAATGAAATAGAATGGAGAGTCCAGAAATCAACCTTTACATTTATGGTCAAGTGATTTTTTAACGATTTATTTATTTTAGAGAGAGAGAGCAGGGGAAGAAGGGGGAAGGGCAAAAGGAGAGAGAATCCCAAGCAGACTCTCCACCAAGCTCAGAGCTGGACATGGGGCTCAATCGCATCACCTGGAGATCATGACCTGAGCCTAAACCAAGAGTGGATCAACAGACCGACTGAGCCACCCAGGTGCCACTGGTCAAGTGATTTTTAACAAGGGTGCTAATACATTCAATGGAAAGAATAGTCTTTTCAAGAAACGATGCTAGGACAACTGGATATCCACATGCCAAAGAGAATACGGACCCTTATCTCACATCATAAACAAAAACTAACTCAAAATGGATCAAGACCTAAATGTAAAAGCTAGAACTATAAAACTCTTGTAAGAACACAAAGGAGTAAATCTTATGACTTTGTATTAGGCAACAGTTTCTTAAGCAGGACATCAATAGCACAAAAAGCAGTTTCTTAAACAGGACATCAAAATTAAAAATGTTTCTGTTTCAAAGAATACTATCAAGGGGCGCCTGGGTGGCTCAGTTGTTAGGCGTCTGCCTTCAGCTCAGGTCGTGATCCCAGGGTCCTGGGATCGAGCCCTGCATCGGGCTCCCTGCTTGGCAGGAAGCCTGCTTCTCCCTCTCCCACTCCCCCTGCTTGTGTTCCTGCTCTATCTCTCTCTGTCAAATAAATAAATAAAATCTTTAAAAAAAAAAAATACCACCAAGAAAATGGAAAAAAAAAAACCCAATGGAATGGAATAAAATATCTGCAAATCACGTATTGATAAAGGACTTGTATCCAGAATATAAGAATCCTTATGACTTAACAATAAAAAGACAACCCAATTTAAAAATGAGTAAAGGATTTTTCTTTTAAAGATTTTTTTTTAAAGATTTTATTTATTTATTTGACAGAGAGAGAGAGTGAGCGAGCACAAGTGGGGGGAGTGGCAGGTAGAGGGAGAAGGAGAAGCAGACTCCCTGCTTGGCAGGGAGCCCCTTGCGGGCTCGATCCCAGGACTCTGGGATCATGACCTGAGCCGAAGGCAGACGCTTAACAACTGAGCCACCCAGGTGCCCCAAGATTTTATTTCTTTCTTTAAGAGAGAGAGAGGGAGAGCCAGAGAGATCAGAGAGGGGGAGAGAGAGGGAAAAGCAGACTCACCACTGAGCAGAGAGCCCAATGCGGGGCTCGATCCCAGGACCCTGAGATCATG